GGAGCTCACATTCTCCTGTGGAAGAAGAAGGAAGGGAAGAGCAAAGAGGGGGCGGGGAGTGGTATGTTAACAGTGTAAAAAATATTCCAAGTGAGGCAACCTCTTTTTAACCCTACATTTGCGTCGTGTGTGTGTGTGTGTGTGTGTGTGTGTGTGTGTGTGTAGATGTGTTCTTTCCTGAGTTTTCTGGCAGAGTTCCAGGCATAGCAGAGTTGGAAAATCTTTGGAAATTTGCATATCCTTTTTATAGTCAAGTAAATCAATAAGGAACAATTGTTCCCTGCTCCTAGACAGAGGCCTGAAATCCATATTGCTCTGTGTGCACTGGTGAAACTTAATCACTTCAGAACCCTAACCTGCCTGGTGTGGCTTGGCGGTGCCTCGGTCTGATTGGGCACTCAGTAAATATTTGTTGAGTGGGTACCCAGAGTGTCAGCTCGAAGCTGAGGAGGTTGGTGCCCTAGACTGATCCTGGCAGTTATTTCAACATGCTTTGGAAAGAGCATCCAGGGAGGACTTGGCTATCTCTGCGAATTCCAGGTCTTTGGATTATTTATCCTTTCTGTATTCCTGTTCTGTGAAGCAGTAGAGCCAGATATGCAGGGCATTAGGCGGGGCCAGAACATTCTGGAAGACTGGAAACTTGATGAAGAGGAAATAGCCATTTCTTCTTCTTGGGGAAGAGCAGGTCCTCTCATTTGAGATGTGGCTGGTCTGCCTGGCAGACAGCGTGCTGAGGGAGGTAGGCACTGATGTCAATCATTACCACCTCTGAAGGAGGCTCCTTTCTGACCTGTTGGTGACAAAGAGAAGGAACAGCAGCAAGCCACGTGGCTTTGTTGAAATAGATTCTTGCTGGGGCTCCCCCCTTGGAGCCAGACAGGTGAGCCAGGGCACCGATCTGCCTCTGTTGGATTCATGGAGTGAATTTAAAAGGATGTACAGATTTTGTGGGAGTGGTTGGTTGGTTTTCCCCCTCATGGAACTGCAGCTGTTTGGATTCAACCCTCTGCTTTTGCCATATTAATTTTGTTTATTTCACTTCTTGCCCCATAGTTGTGAACTAGTGAGATGTGCTTGAAAGGAGAAGCAGAAAGGGAGGTGGTGCTCTGAACTGGCTTCTCAAGGGACAGTCTTCCTAGCATCACTTTGTCCTCTAAGGTTTGCTCTTTCTGTGCGGTCACTAGGACAGGATAGAGGGCCCCTCTTGGCATGCAGAGCCAGTGTGAGAGTCTGAGCTGCTGGTGAGGCCATCTTGGCACCATGGCCAGTGTGGATGGAATGGCAAAACCAGGTTGGTCTCTGGCCAGCAGGCCAAGGCAGAGGACCTTAGAGCATGGAATGCTTTGAGAACTATGTCCAGCAGCCACATGGCTAACAATAAAGCTGAAGCTTGAGAACATTTATAGACTAGAGCAAACAAGAGAATGAAATTCCTCTTGGTAACGTGACATGCAGAGACCATGAGAAGACATGCAGCATTTCAGTTGACAAGCCCTTACTGTGATATTGCAGTTTGTTTACCAGTCCCTGCAGACAATCTGAACCTATTTAGGACCCAGGAAGAAGACAGTGTTAATCAGAGAAAAAATAGGCTAAAGAAGCAGTATTGAAAGGATGAATCTGGCCATTTATCAAAGAAACTACTGAACTCTATGAGGGGAAGAATAACTGTTGATAAGCTCTTAGTCATTCTAAGTGCATACATATTTGTAAGGTAATGCTTTATATGTAATTTATCATGGTGTTCTAAGTATTGTCAGGTAGCCCTTTCATTTCTATAACCTCTTGAAAAACATGTCAAATGCTACTAATATAGACACCCTCCTGGGACATCAAAATCTTTGTGCAGGTAGCCGACCTGTCAGGCCACATACGAAAGGGTTGGATCTTGAATGGCCAGGCTAAATCTATTCTGTGGCTCTATTGGCATTTTGCTGCTTGCGTATGGAGACACATACACACACCCTACACACTTTCCCTTTTTCTCCTGTTCTTGTCGTCATCTTCAGTGGAGATGGTACCGTTTCCTGACATCATTCCTCAACTTGCTCATTATTTCCTGACCTTCTCTGTGATGGAAATGAATCTGAACCTGTTTATTTCATGTCCCTCATTTAAATCTTAAAGATGCATCCCCAGAATGCTCTAATGGGACCTGGAGCAACGTGCATGAAAAGGAATGTAAGAGGCTTGGAGGTGATCGGAGCCTTCTGTTCTGTAGATACATTGGGCTGTGCTTTCATGTCTTCCATTCTGGCGTTTGCCCCAGGATGATTTTATACAGATGTTTGAAAGATATGGGACTTGACTTTTTAGAATGCACGGAGTTAGTCTGCATCCTTATTGGAAGGACTTCAGTGATCTGCAGACGGGAAGGCAGCCTGATACATTTCTGATCTTCATCCAGCTGTTACTGCCAGTCTGGTTGCGAAATGTGACAGGACCATGGCCAACTGTGTATGTTGAAATATGTTTTATCTGAAACTCCTTTCTATTCTCTACATTGCTATGTGAATTCAGAGGGTATGACTGGCAGTGATCAGGGGGTTTAAATCACACATTGAATTTGCCTAAAGAGGATTTATTGGACTGTCGCCAATCACAGCGACATTGTTCACGGGGCCATTTATAAGGGGTTGCGGAAGTACAGAGAGCTTGCATTCCAGTTTGAGAATACGTCTGTGAAAGGATAATTAAAAGTACACGCTGGGATATAGATGACAACTATTATCGATAATTTACTCTAGACAGAGCTCAGAGGAAATGAGAAATCTGTGGTCCTGGATGTCTGCCCTTAGAGGGATTAGGACTCCAGCCTGAGTCTAGAAGACCAGACAGAATATGAATAACAGAGAAAACAAGGGGAGAGCATTTTAGGCAGGGGAATGACACACACAGTGTGGAGGTGGCAATGGATGAAGTGTGTTGGGGGACAATGTACAGACTCTCTGAACAGTGGATATATGTACTAAAAGCAAAGGGAAAGACCATCTTAAAAGGAAGGAGTAGGCATGCATCCTGATGCTTTGGATAATGGAAAACCCAAGTTAGCTTAAACAGTAAGGGTAACACATTGGCTCAATAACGAAAAAAAACAAAAAAAAGGCCCATTTTTCAAGTTGCAAATGGGGCTCTCTAGGGTCTGTTTTCCTGCCTCTTGATTTCTTCATGTTCACAAGATGGCGGCCAGCAGCAACCAAGGCTACATCTTCTTTGTTCACATTCATAGCCATCAAACGAAAGACCTGAGCTGGACCACTTTTAACCATCATGGCAGTCATGGGCTTAGGCCTGATCATCCCACGGTTAGTCAGAATGGGGGTGAGATTGTGCTGATTGGCTTATGCCAGTAAGGGTCAACCTCTGGAGCTTAGTTGGGGTCAACACCAGCCAAATCCTGTGGCTACTATATAGTGATTTCCTGAAGGAAAATCTAGAAAGGTGAAAAGGAATAGGAGGGTAGAGGATGGATTAACAAGGAAAAAATGTCCATTTTAGCTTTGAGTTATGTGCAGCTTTGAATCCTACAGTAAATTATCTCGAGTGATTCTAGACGTTAGCCTATAGGCAATCCACTTGGGGGTGATTATAGCATTTGTATTGGTCCTTGATATTGGGAATGTTTAACTTTTACCTTAACCATAATCTTCTCATGCCCAGAAAAATTATTTGGTTACCAATTTTCCTTCTTATCCTCATCATCTGTTTTTGCTCCTTCATAGGACTGCATATGCTTCGTCAATTGGCTGACCGTTTTTGAGACCTCATATCATGCCAAACTTGAATGGCTCTGAAGGACTATCTCTCTTCCTTCCTGTGGAGTGTTCTGAGAGCCATCCCTCACTCACTTAGGATTCCTCTGTTGGGGGTTATTCAATTGGGTCTTCTATTGGTTTGCATTACCATTAATCAAAAATTATGTAGTACTACTGAAGTTTAGTAATGCCATTCAGAAGCAGGATATCCATCCATCTGTTTTTCAACAGATTAGCACCTACTATGTGCAAGGAACTGTGCTGGCCTCTGGGGATGAACCCCGAAATCGCACATGGTCCCTACCCTTGGGCTCCCAGTCTGGCTTCAGAAAGCTAATACAATCCACAATTGTGATTCTATGTGATGGATATTATATGTAGCGTATTATGGAAGTTTAGAGAAGAGGCATTTCTCTAAATTGGAGGCATTAGCAGATTACATTTCCTATTACGTATTAGGAGAATACAGATGGTATTCTGTGGCTCAGGCTACAGTTCCTAAATAACTGGGAGGTGAAATGGAAATGCAGATTCCCAGTCAGTAGGCTGGGAAACGTGGTATGGGAATCCCATTTTAATCTCTAACTCCTTGGGTGGTTCTTAGCGAAGTGGTCTAATGAGTACTGGCCTGGAGTGCAGCATGTGGGTGCAGGGTTGCAAATGCAGCCTGGAGTAGGGGAAGAGCAAAAGCCTAAGAGGATCAGAGAGGCTGCAGAAGGCTGGAGAGTTTCTAGGACTGAGTGGTCAACAGGACCCTGTGGAAAGTTGAAGGCATCTGGCAGCAGCACATACTTAGAACAGGAAGGACTATCTTAGCCTTAGTTTTGCACAGTGGAGCTAAAAAAATCTTTACAGAATGAGACTGTTGGAATAATCACTTGGCTCTAAACTCATGCGGCTGGGAGAGTTCAGGTTCAAAACTCCAAGGGCAGTTCTTAGTCTACTAGTCTGCCTCCCAGTTGGACATTATTTATCCTTGTTATGTTAGCACTGTGATTTGGGAATGCCCTTTAGTAACCTTGAGGGCCACTCTAGAATTTGCTTGATTCATTTAAAAATCTGATTGATTTAAGACTGAATAAATGTGTATAATATTTAATATATTTAATATTATATATTACATAATTCTCCATATATAGTTCCTCATATATAATAATAATAATATATTTAATATTATATAATAAATGTGTATAATATTAAAATGTAAATAAAAGCATGGGGGCAGTGGTATACACCATTTATGCCATTAAGGATATTGGGGGGCCACTTAAATTGCGCCTCATTTCATAGAATCATTAAGACTTAGTAAGGCACGACAAGTCGAGTGAGTAGCCAGTGTTGTGGTCAGCGCGATGCCCAAGGCCAAGGGGAAGACCAGGAGGCAGAAGTTCGGTTACAATGTTAACCGGAAGCGTCTTAACCGGAATGCTAGACGGAAGGCAGTGCCGCGGATGGACTGCTCCCACATCCGACATGCCTAGGACCACGCCAAATCTGTACGGCAGAACCTGGCCGAGATGGGGCTGGCTATGGACCCCAACAAGGCGGTGCCCCTCCGTAAAAGAAAGGTGAAGGCCATGGAGGTGGACCTAGAGGGAAGGCCTCAGGAGATTGTGCGGAAGCCCTATGTGCTGAATGACTTGGAGGTAGAAGCCAGCCTCCCAGAAAAGAAAGGAAATACGCTGTCTCGGGACCTCATAGACCATGTATGCTACATGGTGGAGAACCACGGGGAAGACTATAAGGCTATGGCCCGAGATGAGAGGAATTACTATCAAGATACCCCGAAACAGATTCGGAATAAGATCAATGTCTATAAGCGTTTTTACCCAGCGGAGTGGCAAGCCTTTGTTGAATCTTTGCAGAAGACTAAGATGGAGATCGAGTGACTGGTTTACATCTGCCAGGCTGAGGCCTCCCCCTGGACCTGAGAAGCTGGAGTCAGGATGTAAGGCAAGGAGGGGTGTGTGGTTACAGATGAGGCTGGCCAAACCCCATGGAATCAAAAGGTTTTTCTCTCTCTCACTCCCCTCTCTGGGGAAGGAACTGACTCCCAGGGGCTCCAATTTATATTCTTCTGGGGCCTCCAAGAAAAGCCAGAATCTGCTGTTTTCAGAGTGGGTGGTTTGTTTGAATACAGTCTGTACATAATAAAACAAGGCTATTTTACTTCTTTAAAAAAAAAAAAAGACTTAGTAAGGCATTTCCATTTTCTTCCTCAGACAGGGTAACCATGAAAACCTTCTCAATAATTCTTGACTTAACGCGAAAACCTTCTGGGAGTGAGCTGGGTTCTCCATTTTGTGGACAACATCCTATGGATAGACTACACTTTTACTTGCAATGATGATTTTTATTTACCTGGTGTTAAAAGAAACTAGATTTCAGACTGGCTGTCTGGTTTACATTATTGTTGCAGTTACCCCGTCACCAATACAAGCTTAGTGGAAATGACTGGAAAAGTCATACTTTTCAAAATATTATAGCTTATGACAGCTTTGTGTCTTCAGTTGCATTTAATAAAAATTTATTAGTTAAGTTTGAAAATAAAAGGCCACCAAGAAATAAACTATGAGAGATGCTTCATCCTTGACATTTAATTATTTATTGTTTTAGGCATTAAAGTGTATGTTGATAAGAAGGTACAGGAAAAGACATTAAAAAAAATACTGACGGTAGGTCAGTTGGCACAGGATTTCTCAGTCCTGGCACTGTTGACATTTTGGGCCAAATGACTCTTTGTTGTTGGAGGCCATCTTGTGCATTGTTTTATGTTTTCCAGTGTCCCTGGCCTCGACCCACTAGACCCAATCATGACAGTCAACATTTGTCCCCAGACATTGCCAGATGTCCCCTGGGAGCAAAATTACCCATTTGAGAACCACTGAATTAGAGACAACAAAGCTTTTTATAGGTATCTTTTTACTCTGCTGTTAATCTATCTTTTGAGAATTTTGTTCTAACTATTAAAAGTAAAGACAGTTGATTCTCATTCAGGTTGCATATTTGCAAATTTGTCTACTTGGTAAAATTTATTTATAACCTCCAAATCAATACTCTTGGCACTTCTACAGTCATTCCTGGACACACACGTGTTCAGAGAGGCCAAAAATTTGAGTCACCTGATACATTAGTTCTCAGCTGAGGTCAAACAAGGTGATGCTCTGCCTCTTGTTCCAGCTCTCAGCCTGTAAACAAGTGTCCTCCTCATGGCCTATTCAATGCCACATTTTTCACATCTTTGTGCTTTTTATTGGTGATTTCACTGTTTAAAATGGCCCGAGTACAGTGCTAAGTGCTGTCTACTGTTCCTAAAAACAAGAGGCTGGGCCATGCCTTATGGAGGAAATATATGTGTTAGGGTTCCTTCATGCACCAGTTATAGGGCCACTGGCCGTGAGTTCAACATCTGTCTGTCCGTCTGTCTGTCTACCTATCGACCTACTATCTATCGATGTGTCTTTACACGGAAACACACATAAAACAGGTTATGTATTGATCAGTTGATGAAAATGTGACCAGAGGCTCACAGGACCCTAACGTTGTATTTCCCTGTATTCATTCAGTGTCCGAGCTGACATTATATACCATAACTACTACAAATAACAAGAATCAACTCTAGTTTTTCTAGTCTATATTTCAAAAGCCTGCATTTTAAAGATCTAATGTGATATGTGTTAAGCTTGATTGCTTTTTTTTTAATATAAAAAAATAACATAGCTTCATTATGGAAAACGTGTAAGATAAATAACTGCTGAGCCCATGGATGTAAATATTTTTCAAGCCATTATATACCTTGTAAAAAGGTTTACTGATTTACACAAGAAATTTGCTAGAATGCCATTTTTAATGCATCTTTGCCAACATTGTTTTACATTTTTCATAGTTTTAAAATGATAAAGTTGACAACTGTTAGAGAATTCAAATTATAGATATATAAAAAATACAGTGTAAAAGTCTCTCCCTTTCCCACTCTTCCTCAAGAGGGTTAAGAATTTGGTGTCATTTTAAGCCTTTTAAGAAAATGCGCATAAAAATAAATGCATTTTATACCCATATTTTAATATGGAAGGGACTGAATATCGGCTTACTCAATGCCCTTTGCATCATGCTTGACATTACTTCATATAATTTATGTGGAAAAGTGCTTCATTATTTATAAAATACTTAAGTTGTCAGGAAAAATTGCGTAAGTGATGCTTCTGTTTAAAAGCTGTTTTTTAATTTTTGTGCTAAGTGATTAGCTTTTGATAAATATCTTTTAATCTAATTTTACTTTTTCGCCTGTAGCCTAAGCTACAGAGCACAACACAGATTCAGTCTTACACTTTATATTCTCTCACTAAAGGCTTGACAGAGGATTTCAAAGAATTTAATTTCCTGATTAAAAAAAAAGGAGTGAATCATTGGATGCAAATAGGTAAACATTATCCAGGATCAGTCAAGATGCTTAATATAAATTATTACAACAGATGTTTGTGGAATGATTGCAATGCGAGGAGCACTTTCATGTAAAGTGATTCTCTAACCCCTCCCCTCGTCATGGCTGGAGAAGGAGAACACGAGAGGGATGGCTGATGCTCACTTGGATGTTTTATGCACACAGGGACTACTTGGAGTGACTGAAAACCCTGTGGATGAAGATCCCTTGATCTTGGGTGAGGATGTGAGACCTTCCTGTACCAGCTGTTGATACTAGATATGGAAATTTGACTGCATTTTAAGTCCTGTTTATGTCAGAATGCTATAGTTTTCATTTAGGGTGACTTAGAGACACATAATAAAATGTGCTCCTGGGAAAGAAAACTAAACTGCAAGTAGCTTTGACTGCTGGAAAAACTCAGGAGAATTGCAGACTTTTGAAATAAGTGGCAAATAAGATGCTATTTCTAGGATGGTGGGATAGAGAAATTGTACAGATTTAATGTTACCTATTTATTTTTTAGAAAAAGGTAACCCTTCCCCAGGGTAGGAATTATGTGATCTCTTTTCTAAGAGATTCTTAGTGTACTCTTGGGATTATTTTGGTTTATTAATACAGGCATTAAGATAATCATCAAAAACCTAGAGGCACGCCCTTAGAAATGCATAGTTTCTCTTTCAGAACATCTATGGGAGAAGCACTAAGGAGAAGGTTTAAAGGAAAATATTTCAGATGTCCACATTCCCCTCTTACTTTTTTGTTCCTGAAAAAATAGCAAGCAAACGTTTTTTACTCTGCTACTTTTTAACTTGTGAATATTTATGAAAGGACTTAGTAAGTGTTGTTCCTTTATATTAACCTTTTTAAAAAAACCATTTTATATATAAATACATATCATTAGCAATATTTGAACAATCACCTGTTATGACAGATTTAAACATTATAGAAAGATTCAGAGTAAAAAGGTACTAGATCATGTTAATCGTGTTTCCCACCCCCTAAAAAAATCCTTTGTAAATGCCTCTGTGTTGTAAGTCTTTGATTTTGTTTATCAAATATAGAAGGTTTAACTGTTGTTATTGCCACATCTGTGAACTTTTCTCTACTGGGTTTTGTAGAAATAAATTCTTCATATTTTTTCTGGTTTTAGAATTTTTTTTTTTTTACATTTATATCTCTTATCTACCTGGAATTTGTTTTTGTGTCTGATAGAAAGTGGTAGAGTTGTAACTTTATTTTTATTTATGTGGGTATTTACTTTCCCAATAGTTTGCTTCTTTGGTACCAATTTAAAATATAATGTATCAAATAGTTTGCTGTTTTCATCCTTATTTTAAATAATGTTTATTGTATCCTTAATATCTATTTAGTTTGCTGTATTCTCTGTCCTGTTTAATGATCTATTTGTCTGTATCTGTGATGATACCACACTGTTTTGGGTACTGGTGCTTTACAGTATGTGTAGTTTTGTCAGGGAATTTAGAGATGTCAAGAACCAGATGTAAAAGAGGAAGAGAATGGCACACAAGACGGGCACTGTGTATCCCTGGCTGCTGCACATTCTCGTGGTTGGGGGGGTTCCAGATCTGGTCTGTATCTGGGTTGCCAGGGGTGGGCTGGCAGAGTTAAAGCCAAAGGCTCGAAACATAACTTCAGTCCTTACCTTGTAAACAATCATCCTTTCTTTTTAATAGATTCTACCTGGGAATGCTTTCATTAGGTAAATTTCAAATTACCAAGGGTGCCTAAAGCCATAAGCCCAATACCTTTACAGCAGCGGTTCTCAACCTGTGGGTCGTGACCCCTTTGGGGGGGTCGAACGACCTTTTCACAGGGGTCGCCTAAGACCATCGGAAAACTAAAAGATACTTACATGACGATTCATAACAGTAGCAAAATTACAGTTATAGAGTAGCAACGAAAATAATTTTATGGTTGGGGGTCACCACAAACATGAGGAACTGTATTAAGGCATAAGGAAGGTTGAGAACCACTGCTCTAAAGGAAGTGTTTTCCCATTGTGATCCCTGCAGCCCTGTGTGGTCTGGGGCCCTTAGGGACCTGTAGGACTGTGAGGCTCCAGGTCTCATTCCCCCGTTTCAACCAGAGCAACGGCTTTTAGGGAGCTATTCGTTTATTGGGCTTCTGAGTAAAGTTACATTTGAAGATAACATTTTGCTGGTTTGAAAGCCATCATTATAATTCATTTTTCTAATTTAAATCCGGTTTGGACAGTAATACTGATCTTGCCTACATAACTATTTTATATTCTAACTCAGTTGCATTGCTCAAGGAAAATGTCCTTGCACACAGGATTGAGAAATGCTCTCTTCCTCCATTTTATGGAGACCTTATAGCAGTTAGGTTGTGCATGAGTGTGACTGGGTCCCTTGTGTATATGTCATATTTCCTCTGAAAAATGGTAAGTTTCTTATGGACCTGCTTGTGTCTTTTGTTTTCCGTCTCCCCTCCCTTCATTCCTGAACACTTACCACACAAGTTCAGAACATACATAGTTCCTAATTCTACGCGGACGTCTGTAAATGAACAGCCCCTCTCCCTTCCTATCATGGGAACGAGAAAGCAGACAGTGGTTCAGAGATGTGAGTTCTCCAGCAGCCTGACTCGCCTCTGGTCTTTGTGCAAGAAGGCAAGTTAAGAGAGCTCTAAGTAGCCTCCTCGGGGGATTGCTGTATTTCACTAAGATCATCAAAAATTGAGGCAGGAGAGCTTGCCAGCAAAGCCTCTCCCAATTCTGCGTGGGCTACAGCCTCACTGAGGCCAGCGGATGTGGCCTGAGCCCAGAGAAATTGTGGCAAAGAAACCTGGTTCCACAGAGGAATTTTCATCAACCTTGTCCTCAGTCAGTGTTTATTCGGCTACACCTTCTTCTGCTTCGTGGGCAAACTGGAGTCCTTTCTCTTCTAAGGAGCTCACTCTGGCAAACCCAGCCCAAAGTGAGCTGTGCACCCATTCTTTCGCCAGACCATGTGTATTCTATGACTAGCACTTTCTTGCAGCCGTGCCGCCATATTCCTAAATTATATAGTGTAGAGTTTTTCTGCCACACCAGCTCTGAGAGAGCACTGTTGTCACAGCCCCAGGCACATATTGGGTGCTTATTTTAGGCAAGGGTCTTCGATAGTGATAGAAACCCATTTACACCAGTTTGGTAAATGGAAAAGTTTCTGTATGCCTTTGGGGATGTCACAGGATGGGAAATGAAGGGCCCCCAGGGTTCACGGAACTGGACTGAGATACTCGAGGAGCTCTCCTGGGCTCCTCATCCCTGGTTCTTGTCTTGGGGTGTCCTTTATCTTGTTATGTAGATGAACTTGCAAGGTCATGATTACTGACCACTTTGCGATAGCCTCATTGGCTTCCCGAGCCCCAGTCTTTATGATCTCCAAATTTTCCAACCTCCCAGCTAGAGTTCCATCAAAGACAATGGCTCAGAGTTACTGGGGAGAATCCCATTGGTGAAGATTGGCCTATTTGAGTCAGACCACATAAGCATTAGGACCCTGGCCTGGCAATGGATTTGCTATCTCAGGGTACAAGTTCTACTCCTGCTCAGGCAGCTTTGGTGGAAGTAAGGAGGTGAGGCAGGTCCCATGGTACATGAGGTAGACCCTTCAGGCAGGACAAACCACGAAACATGTCTCTTTATATTGCTTCAAGTATTTGCTAAAGAATGAAGTAATTCATCCTTTTTCCTCGATTCCAATTTCACTGTTTTGAAATGGAAATTTTCCTCTAACCTCTGTCTTGGTAAGAATTATCAGCCATTCTGCAGTGTAAGTTCTCCAGCCCTCTGGGTGATCCCTGCCCCACTCCTCAGCCCTTCTTTGGGTCTGAATCGGAGCTGAATTGCATAACGAAGGCAGCTAGATAGCATCTCAGAACTGCATTGCCTTTCCTGCCAGGAGGCAGCTCTGCCAAGCAGCAGCATAAAGATTCAGTGCAACGATGGGGCTTTAAGGCCTCCTTCACCCCTTTGCACAGCTGAGTGCAGGGCTGCAGCAGAGCCGTCAGGGCCAGGAGGCAGCGAGGGGCTGTGTGTACAGCCTGGGGAGCGTCCCCCCAGTTAGAATGGCTCTTTCCAGAGAGTAGAAACGATTTGCCTTTCCATTTGTACAAAATGTCCCTGCTTGCCACTCTTCCTTTACAGAGTAGGAAATGAAAAACAAATCGCTCCAAAATGAGAGAGGAAAGAGCCAGCTAGCCTCATTCGCAGAAGTTGGTTCTAACTGCTGTGCATTGCGGCTTCAATCAGACTCGTGTTATTTTTGAGTGGTGGGAATAATAGGGCTTACACCTAATCAAGGAAGAGAATGCCAAACAAAAGCTTGGGTGGGGTTTCCTGGGCAGGAGTGTGATATTGTAATAAATGGGAAGCAGAGTTCTGCAGTCCAATCTCTGGGCTGATTACACAAATTATAGCAGGGGCCCTGTTTTCAAAGGAATGTAACACACCCCACGGAGGCCCCTCCTCAGCGGGTGTGTCAGCGTTTCCTTAAGCTCCCTCCTTAGCAGTTAATGCTTTCACCAGAGGAGCTGAGAGCCTTGTGTGGAATAATTAGGCTCTCTGGCATGGGACCATTCTACAGGTGAGTTTACCTTATGTTCAAGTCCGTTAGGGAGGCCCGTTGCTAAATTCTCCACCCTCTCCTGCGAAAGTGCTGGTAGGGCTCTGACATTCCAGTAACAATGGCCAGCATTTCCAAGCACTAGGGAACCAGGCACTTTATATAGGGGAGAGGAAAATGTTTTGATGAAGTTTCTCTTCTTACAAAAGGGGCACCATTCATTCTCTGTGTCCATGCCCATGGCCTGCTGCTGTGCGCCATCTTCAGCGCACTCCTGCCTCATTTCTCACGAGTGTTCCCGACCCCCTGGGCTTGGCCTTTCTGAGCCACTTCCGATTTCTCCGATGTGCCAGGTCCCTGCCCTTCTCAGGAGCTTGGTCCTCCTGATTGCTTCCTCTTGCGGTATCCCCCCACACCCGCTCCTCCTCTTCTCGCCTTTCTTCTCCATCTTCAGAATGAAACGTCGTCTCTCTTGAGAAAGCTCCCCCGCATGCTATCTCCTATCCTGCACCTGTCTCCGTTAGATGCCACGGAGCACCGTGTTCACCTTTTGAGCTCTTATCGCCCACTCTTAAGTGATGCCTTTACTTCTTTTTTAACTTACAAGGTCCTTGAGGCCAAGGACGGTGTTATTTGCCTTCAAATACCCAGTGTCGAACATAATTGGTACACCTGGATGGCTTGGGGAAATTGTCTCATAAATTACATGTTTTAATTTTATTTTTCTCTTAGAGCCAATTTATGCCCCATATCAGATAAATATGTTTCTGTTATGTTATACCTTTGCTTATTACCTTAACCATTTTATGTGCTTTCCTTCTTTCTCCCGTCTCTTGCGGCTGTATTTCTCGTTTAATTTAGAAATGCCGGGAGCACCATAACTGCGACAAGGGGTCGCTGAGACTGACTCTGGTGTCTGTGGGTTGTGGCCCTCACTGTTCACTAGGATGTGTGCTGACAGCCGAAAAGTGTGGGTGAACTAATGCTGGTGGTGGGGCCGCCCCTACCTGTACCTGCCTCTCTGACTGCGCCTCCCTCCGCCCTCTCCTGTTCCTTCTAGCCTTCCTGAAAAGCTCCCATCCTGTTAAATTACCATTCCCTTTCATGCCACTTCTTCCATAATATGCCCACCTGCTTTGTCCTTCTCCCTTGGCAGGCACGTCTTTCCAGAGTCAGCTCTACCTGGCTTCCTGTGGGAAGCCTTCTGTGATTCTTTCTGCTTCCCCCGCCAGTATCACCCAGAACATTTTGGATGGCCCCCCTGCCCCCTCCAGTGGGCATCGCATTTTACTGAGTCTTTTGTTTCTGGCTTTGTCTTTCCACTGCGTGGTGGGGGATGACCCTATGGCAGGCGCCTGGCCTTACTCCTGTCAGTATTGCCCAGTGCCAGGTGTGCAATTCCAACTGGCTGAGCCAATAAACTAGTCCATAAGTAGTATTTAAAAAATTTTTTTGAAGTAAGTTTGCATGTCCTCAGTGGTGGTACATGTCTTATTTTACAGATGAGGAATGGAGACGCAGAAGCTCCAAAAACGGTAGCCACACCCCTTCCTCCTTTTCTCTCCTTTCTTCTCAGAGGTTTGTAAGTGGTGAGATAGAGACTCAGACTTACACCTTCAGAGCCTGTGTCTGGTTGGCTTTCCCCCAGATAAGGCAGATTCCTGTAGATCTGATGAAAGGAATATGCTCTTAGGAGTCAGGCAGCCCAGGTTGCTGGTTTCCTTGGGGGGTGGAGAGGCAGGCCTCACAGTAACAGGAAGAACCATCAGAATCACCACTGCGATGGTCCAGGTTGGCCTTTCCCCAAGGTGGTAGCAATGCTCATTTCAGTCTGCAAACTAGGAAGATTTTAGGTATGGATGAGGAAGTTCTGGGACCACTACAGAAAACTGTGGTTAGCCTCCTCCTAGATTATAAGCCTTAGAGATTTTCTTATAAATCACGCTTTTGTGTTTCTGCTGAGCACATTGATTTCCTCATGCTATGTAAGATGCTGCATTCCCCCCACTGACACACATGTTCTCAGAAAAGCTTATAAATATCTCCTTGTTGCCTGAGCAATTAGCCCCAAGGAGTAGAGGTGCATGTAGGAGCTATTAATTTGTGTGTGTCTACTTGCTTGCTAGAGATTCACCAGCAGCAATCTCAGACAAGCTGCTAATAAGTGCTAATACACCGCGGGTCTGCATGCTGCGTGATGCCCCAGCAAACACTCAGGGCACCAAATTTCCCTTGACTTGGCTTCTCGTGATTGCCAGGGGTGAACGATGTTCATAAATAATCGTTTTGAGAAGCATTTGCAATATTCTTTTGGTACAGTAAATAATTTCATTAGTTTGGAATTATGGAAAGTCACGTAACTTAGAGCAATTTAGGGAAAATTCAAAAATGCTGATATATCTACATAATAAATTGCACGAGACTGACAGATATGCCTGAAAGAGCTTTTTAAAATACGATATGTGACACACATTTAAGATATGGCTGTTGCCCAGTAGAGGGTTTTAAGAGATCCATGCTAATGGATATTTAAGAGCAACAATTAACATACCACTTCATAATTAAGTGCTTCTGGATACTTGAGGGACACTCTGGCAACTGTTGTACCCTCAAATTCTTTACATAGCCATGTGTTAATCTGACTTCCAACTGTGTGGGTCTAGGGTTATCTCCCATAATGAATCAGTGTTGTCCACATTAGCACCATTCTCCTGTGGTTTGAATCATCAGATACTGGAATGTGTGCTATGGGCCCCCGTGCGTGCTAGGGCCAGCTTTCAAAGAGGAGCAAAATGTATTTCCTGCCCGCAAGAAGTTTACAGCTCACTGCAGAGGATAGGCCGGGCCTGGCTTTTGTCCCCACCATAGTATTGTCAAGGCCTGGGCTTAGGAGCCAGACAGCCCCTGCTGTTTGCTGGCGGTGGGAGTGAATGTGACTTCACCTCTGTAAGCCTCAGTTTCTGCATCTGTAAAATCAGGATGAAGGTCACAGCTACCTCCTAGGGTTATTGCAAGGAAAAGGGACATAATGCACATAAACTCTCAGACATCAGTGTTTGTTGTTGATCTGGCGTGGCTGCTGCCAATGTGCTAAAGAAATAAGTAAAACGTAACATGGCAAGCGTACTATTAGACTAGGTGTGTGTCGTGTTCTGTGAAAACTGAAGTGTGAACGGGTGACTCCTGGTGGGGCATAGAGGGCCAGGAGAGGCTGGTGGCCTGTGAAAATGCTGGGGAGGAAGCTACCTACCAGCAGGCCTCAGTGCCTCTATGTATTCCTTTTGCAAACACCTAGTGAGCCCTAGGATGTGTCAGAGACTTTGCTAGGCACTGGGGTTCAGCACATAGAGATGGTAATCAGGGGACAAGATAACAATGAGGGATTCTGTAATTTCCTGCTGTGGTGTGGTGGGTTGTGCCCTTGGGGGGTGGGGGTGGGGGGGTCCAGAAAAAAGGATTACCCTGACATTCCAAGTGCATGTTATCTTAGATGCAAAGAAGACCATGCGCAGGTTCACTTAAGGTAAAGATTGACCTTTGTCAAGGAAGCTACAGGCTAAGGATGTGAATGCTGGCCATGACCTGCTTTTAGTTTGGAATGTTTGTGTTCAGACCAGCCTATGTGGTTAATTTCGGGCTCTGAGTTTGTATGGACTGCACGGAGCTTGTCAGGTTTAGCATGTGGCCCTTTTTTCATCCACAATATGTAAGTGGTGGCAATTTAAAGAAAAGGCAGAGAATGATGGAATCAAAACTCAGACTAAGTAGTTGCCTCTTAACATTGTTAAAAGCACAGTGTGGGGTCGACCGAGTGGCGCGTTGGTTAAGAGCTGGCTTAGGACGCCAGAGGGCCCTGGTTCGGATCCCACATATGAAGGCCAGTGACACTGCCCTCTACAGCTAAGATGCTGAACAACAGCTCAACCTGGAGCTGGGC